GGGGCCCCCCGCCGGGGGGTGTCTATTTGTGTCTATCGGATTCGCGTACGCCTTTCCCAAGGGCGTAGCGATCTTCTTCAAAGAAATCCAGGATTTCTTTGGCACGTCCTATAGTGAGATGGCATGGGTCTCCTCGATTATGTTGGCCACGACGTACGGCGCAGGTGAGTAAGCCTGCGACACCCGCTATGCTGCAACGTGTTGCTTAAAACAAGCGATAATCCAGAATCTCTGCTCTGGTGCAGCCGGTGGCGGCAGTGGGATGGGGGCAGAGACGACCTGTTTTGAAGGCGTTTCTCCTGCCTCGTTTTGATGTGAGTAGGTAACTTTGCACCGAAATGGCTGTGAGGTAGCAGCGTGGCCTGGCTGTGGCGTGTTTCCGAGCGGTGATGCCTTATCCCGCGTGGCTGGAAGTCGGTCATGAGCTCTCTGTAGGCCTGCGGGAGTAAGCCCAGAGAATTGACTGGATATAAAATAACGAGGTCTGGTTTTCAGCTAAAGGTGAGCGCAGAGTAGAGCAATAAATGGAGCAGCTGCTTGTTTATTGTGGCAGGTTATAAGCAGAGCAATGAAATAGCAAGAGTCAATCATTCTTATCGCTCACAAAGCAACGCATATAACTTAGCTGTTTTCTTACGTTTTTGATGCCGCTATCATGTCAGGCAATGAAAAATTGGGCTGCCTGTGATAAAATCTGAAAAGGGATGTAGACGGGAACTGTGCTCTTTAATTGTAGGAAGCTTCATTAATAGTTTTCCTGGCTATGCAATCAATTCCAAATATATTCTTGCATTTAAAAAGGAGGGGTTTTTTTTTATTTGGTTCCTTAAGAATACACTGCCATGCTTCCTGGAGAGTGCAGTTGGTAGTGAAAGTTAAGATGCTGTGTACTCTAAAGGTATGCGGAGCTGAAGCGATGCTTGAATCGAAGCCTGTTGTAATCCACCCTACCGTAACTTGCTACAAAGGCTTGGGCCCACTGAGAGCAGCTCTGTAAGGCCTTGTGTTTTTATTTAAGAAGTTAGGCTTCCTTTTTTGCTGTGGGTACTGTTCAGATCCATGTGAACCCACAAACGTAGTACTTCAAAGGTGAAGTTCAAGCAGCTGTTTGGAAAGGCAAACTACACGTGAGCTGGTGGTGTCATCATGGGCCGCCACCCACTGCTCTCGCACCTCCTGGCCTCCCTGAAGAGCTGCAGAGCCCCACCACTGGGGCATAAATGACCCTTGGAGCTCATTATTAAATGCACAGAAAAACACTTTTGCCTCAGTTCTGATAATATAAATAAGCAGTTTGCAATGTAAAGGAATAGAGAGGCCATACATAGGCTGAACATAAGCTAGTGGCAAGCACTTAGGGTGCAGCAGGAGAGGAAAGCCCTGCTGTGTGCAGGTTAGCAGAAGGCCTGCTTGTCATTTAGATGCTACTTAAGTCCTATTTTCAAGGGCTGGGGTAAATTTCATCTGAATTAACTGGTGTTAATATTGATCTCCTGTGATGGGGAATGTCTCAGAAGCAGTCAATCGGAGGGAGGGAAAAAAAGGGAAAGCAGCTAGTTCATGCCTTTGGTGTATTCAGTTGCTTACAGACGAGCATCTAGGAAGCAGCATGATTTAGACGTCAAGGAGGCATGGCTAGTTTTTGGTGCAAAAAATACGTGACTATATGGAAGCTGCTGTAAATTCTGTGACCTCATACTAAAATTAAGATGTCACTTGTTGGGAAGGAATTTTCCTGGGGTTTTAGTATACTTTAGTGTGCTAAAAGCATAATGTGGAGATCAGAGATTGCTGTTCACCACTGTGGGTGAAGCAGCTCAGTCCCGAGGAGCACGGCACTGGGGAGCGATGCAGAGCGCGGGCAGCCGTGGTGGGAACCACGTAAAGCGGTAATGAAGCAGAAAGCTCATCAAAGTCATTCTCCATGAGTCCTTTCTGTCTCTGCAGGTCGTGCTGATCTCTGCTCTGCCTTTTGGTGGCACCCCATCCCCCTCAGGGCTTTTGCTGGCACCAAAGCGCGTACTTAACATGTCTGTCTGCGCAGCTGGCCAGTAGTGTTACACGTTCTCTGGACGCTACTGATTTGGAGATGGGGACCAGTGTGGGCTGGTTTTCCTTGACCTCACTGCTATGTGGTGCTGGCAGACCTTGGCTGGCTTCAAAGCAAGGCTGGTCATGTACGTGGAAGCTATAAACATGCAGTATTAGGATGAAACACTAAGGGTATATACTCTGATGCCGCAGCTCTGACTTCAGCAGCTGAGGGTTAGAGCAAACAGCTTGGAGGATAGGTCCCACGATTGCATCAGGTACAGAGCTCCTGTGTCTCTCTACGTGTCCTGGTGCAAGTCATGGCAGAGAAGGTAATTCTGGAGCAGATGAAATCTTGATCTGATCTTGTGCAGCTTCTCCCATGTGCAGGCTTTCAAACCCATTTCCTTCTCTCAAAGGCTTCACGCCAGCAATGTGCGCTATGAACCTGCGATGTTGCAGTGGATTGTCTTTTATCTCAATTAACTGAGTGTTTCCTGTCTTTTTGCAAGGAGCTTTAACTTCACCCTGTCTTACGCTGGTATGCTGTAATATGGGCGGTGATAGAAATGGGTGCTGTTAGACTTAATTACAGATGATCATGCCTTTGTACCTTCCCACTCACATTGTGATTGTTCAGAGTTATGTCCATTTAATAGTCCTCTCCTCCTTTTCTCTATTCTTGAGTAAGATTTATGCTTGTTTGATCTTCCCTCTCGCTGGGGCGATCCCCTTTGCTTGCTGAAATGCCGAGTTGCCTAGTGACTGCAGACAAGGCCAGGGTGGGAGTTTGCAGAACATCAAGCAATTGAAGCACATGTGCCCAAGAGTGTATTTAACACATCTAATGTATGTGATTGACTGGGCATTTAACGCCAGAGTGGGTTTGACATATGAACAACTTCAGTGGTTTGGAAGTTCTCATTAAAAGATCTGAGCACCAGTTCCTATGCGTTGCCAAAGTCCTGCTCTGCTAAGGTGCCCCTTAGAGTTGTTAGGATGTCATCATGGTAAAGCTTGATTTGCTTTGCTGATAAGTTAGAAAGTAGTTTGACTCGGGGTTTTTGTTAATCTATTTTTTAAAATAAGAAATTTTAGAAATGCCCAAGCAAGCTTTTAACATAGTCCCAAGTAACTAGTAGAGTTGCTTTAAAAAAAAAAAAAACAAAAAAACAAAAAACAGGGTAGTTGTTGCTGCAGTTTGTCCATTTCTTCCTTCCTTTCACCAAATGAGCGTAAGACAGAGCTATCTCACCTCTGGTCATGGCAATGCTGAGTAGGGATTGCAGCCTGGCATAAGGAGCGTGTCCTCTGCTGAGACATCAGGCCCCCCACTGCCTGGGGGGCGTGGGGCTGGTGGGGCTGTGTTTTTCTCTGACACCTTCTCAGGCTCTGACTTCGATCTTCACAGAGTCGTTGGGTAGCTGCTGGCAATTAGGGCATCTGATTTTCATCCTCTCACCAGCCCCCTGCCCTGCCTCTCTTCCTTGTGTTGGAAGGGGAGCGAGAAATCACCCCAAATGGGATGCTCACTCTTGTTATTTGGATTCCCCCTGTGAGGCGCTCTCAAAAGCTGAGATCTGAGCAGAGGTTCGACTTTTCTGGTAAGCTAGTGCCCTTAGAAGTCCTCAAGTGTTAAACTGGTCCGTGCCTTTGTTGACATGACATGGGTATAGCTGAGTGGGGGTATTGTGAAACGGGTCAAAATAGGCGAGCAGCGATGTTCACTGGATCCCAGCACACGTGGTGCCCCCTGGAGTGGTTACCTCTGCCGGTACACACAGCAGGGTGAGTGGTAATCACCTTATCGCCTTACAAGCTGCCGTCCAAGTGCAGCGGAGCTAGGGACGTTCCCTGCGAGGACCACAGCACAGCAGGCTCCTTGGCTTCCTTCAGGGGTGGTTGTACCACCCAGCGCTTTCGCAGAGCACGGAGGGTCTGATGTTCTCGCCCATAGCAGCTTTTGTCTGCAAACCTCTGCAGGAAGCAGTCCCTTGTTTTCTTGGTGTGTTCTTTGGTATGGGGACTTGTTTTTAGGCTGCATTGCTTACCATGTACCAGAGCTTTTGTTTGCGTTTCATACCTAATGCAAATGAAGCTTATTTTCTGAAAATACTTCCGTAAACTAACCTAGACCTTCACCGGAGCAGCTCTGTTGATTTGGACAGCAGATTTACACTGACCACCTGGGGCTTTGGCTTGTAGCACCAGAGCAGCGCCAGTTTTGCAGGCTAAGGCTGAAGATCGGTGGCTGAGAATGTTTCTGCCCTTTGGTTTTTGTTTAATTCCTCTAGGAAGCTATTTTACACCAACTGAGGCTCTGGCAATATATTTTGCAGAAGTTTTGATGTGTCTTATACCCTAGTTTCTTAATTTGGACTATGTTGCAGAAAACAATTCTGTCACTGTACTACAAGTAGTAAAACAGATTAGTGTGCAGTAAAGTGGATTGCTTAGACTTTATGACAGGGTGCCTGTAGTTCTCTCCAACATTACAATCGCCGTGTTTCTAGCTGCAGAACAAGCTGAAAGGTTTGAGAGTGAAGAGCACTAGGGAACATTGCTTTTCTCTGACGAAATCCTGCAGGGTGAAACTCTGTCAATCTGATAAGGAAGGATTTCCATTTTGGAATATTTCTACATTTTTCATATAGGTGAAGAGCTCTTTCCTTAACCTAAATGAGAGCAGTGTTATGGAGCAGAGTCTTCGCCTCACGCAGAGGACGAGATCTGGATCTGCCTGTGCGGGACTGGGGAGAGGACACCATCCTTTCCTACGCGTGCTTTCCACTGCCAGTCAGCTCCTAGGGATCAGGCTCCTGATGTGATGGGGGCACATTGAGGTTGTTAAAATGTGCAGCACTATATGGCACTACATCGTCCTGCTGCATGGTCTTTGTAGGGTTTCCGTTGGCAAACCTGCTTCCTTGGACTTTGTCATGACAATGCAAGATTCAGTCTCCGAAAGTCTTGCCTCGCCTCATATACAGGCATGAATTTCATTCAGGCAGACAACCTTAAATAATATAGTTGGAAAATTGAAGCATATGCCCCAGTTGTGCCCACAATACCAGAGATGTCCTTTTTCCATTTTTAGGGTGGCATGTTTTAAACTATGCCATAGAAGAGTCCC